CTGAGGGTACTGACACCGGAGGTTCTGGAGCCGTTGGGGGTGCGGGCGCTGAGGGTTCTGAGTCTGCTGTTGCGCGGTCTCCTTGGAGTGGCCGCCTTCGTCCACGTGTGCCTCTCACCCCACAGCAGCTGCAGGACTGGTACGGTCGCCGTCAGCGTCGCGCTGCTGGAGCTCGGAGTCGTGCTGGTCCTTTGTCTACTGGAGGTGCTGGAGTTGCTGGTTCTGGAGGGGCTCGTGCTGGAGACACTGAGGCTGGAGACCCTGGGACTGGAGGTGCTGGCTCTGGGGGTGCTGCTGCTGGAGACACTGAGGTTGGAGACCCTGGAGCTGGAGGTGCTGGTTCTGGGGGTGCTACTGCTGGCGACCCTGAGGTTGGAGACCCTGGGACTGGAGGTGCTGGTTCTGGGGGTGCTGCTGCTGGAGACACAGAGGTTGGAGACCCTGGGACTCGAGGTGTCGGCTCTGGGCCTGGAGGTACTGGAGCTGCTGGAGGTACTGGAGCTGCTGGAGGCACTGGAGCTGCTGGAGCTACTGGTACTGGTGCAGCTGCGCCGACACGACTGTTCTTCGCTCCGCCGTCTCCGTCGTCTCTGCCGCCGTCTGCCTCTGTTCTTCGTCAGGTTCTTACTCTTCCGTCGTCTACTGGTCTTCCGTTACAGTCTGGCTCACCGCTGCCTACTCCTTCTCCTTACACTGAGCTGACTGGTAGTCCTGCTGAGCGTCGTGAGCCTGCGTCGCGTCCTGTTTCGCCTGCTCGTCCTGGTCGTACCGGTCGTCGTGTTCCTCGTTCGCGTCAGCCGGCTGTCCCCGGCGCACACCTCGTAGTCCGTTGTCCTTCCTCTGCTCCGCCGCCTGTTCCTCTGCCGTCTCCTCCTGCGTCCTCTCTGCCTGCCGTTCCGGACCCTGAGTCTGACCGGTTTCGTACTGAGCACCATACTGTCACGCGTCTCCTAGCCACTATTGTCACTGACCCGTCGTTTGAGTCTACTGCTGCGTCTGCCTTGGTCGCTGAGCTTGTTGACTTTGCTGCTGCCTGTCGTCTAGACTACACCGCCAGTCTTGTTGCTGAGTCTGAGTCTGTCTGTCCTCCGTCCGTCGGGGGTGAGTGTGCTCTTAGCACGGACGTCCTTGAGGACAGGCAGGAGGAGTTCCAGTGTCTTGCTGCTGCTTTACCTCATCTTGTGTCCTTGCTACTTGCCCCTGAGGGAGACCCGGATGCACCAGACATCCCGACTCCGCGCTCTTACGCAGAGGCGATCGCGGGCCCCTACTCCTCTCAGTGGCAGGCAGCCATGGACGCAGAGATGGCTTCCTGGAAGTCCACAGGCACCTACGTTGACGAGGTTCCCCCACCTGGGGCGAACATCGTCAGTGGCATGTGGATTTTCAGGGTGAAGCGGCCGCCAGGTTCTCCGCCTGTCTTCAAGGCGCGTTACGTAGCTCGAGGCTTCAGCCAGCGAGAGGGAGTTGACTTCTTCCAGACCTTCTCCCCCACCCGGAAGATGACCACTCTTCGGGTGCTGCTGCATGTTGCTGCTCACCGTGGGGTAGCCCATATGGGGTACAACCAAATTAGGGTTTACTACTTGTACTCCTGCATGCCACTAGTTCACACATTCCTGCTGCTAGATTCTAACACTCTCTCGTTCTCTCTCTCTCTCTCTCTCTCTCTCTCTCTCTCTCTCTCTCTCTCTCTCTCTCTCTCTCTCTCTCTCTCTCTCTCTCTCTCTCTCTCTCATTCCTTCCGTCTGTCCTTCCATCTTTCCTTCCTTCGTACTTTTCAAGCTTCCTTCCTGCCTTCCTTCATTATGTTTACTGCTTTGGTTTGCTGCTTCGGTTTTCTGCTTCCGTTTTCTGCTTCCATTTTATACTTCCGCTTTATGCTTCTGTTTTCTGCTTTGTTTGATGTGCTTTGTTTTCTGTTATGTTGACCTTACCATCCCTTTCTCATTATCTTTTTTTTTTTTCTCTCAGGAGTCTTGCTGATCAGGAAGGCGAGTCCAATCTGGAAAATCGTAGTTGACACTTATAGAATTTACCTTATTGCCCTTTTTACTTTGTTTTGCCTCTTTTATGTATAATCTTGGGTTTCCGGCTCGTTTTTTGTTGTTCATGCGTTCGGTTGTTGTGAATGTGCTTGTTGTGAATGTGTTTGCTTCTCTGAGTGTGCATTCATCCATTATTGCATTAACAATGTATGTCTGAGATTTTTTTTCTTTTTTTTTTGTTTTTAACTTTGTGTCCGAGTTCTTGTGTATCCATATACGGTATGTGCGACTGTGCGTATGTGTCTGTGCGTGTGTACATTCATTCATATGCATTGCATTAACAATGCATATCTATGAGTTTTAAAAAAATGATCGACCTATCATTTCCGAGAAGGCTCTTTGCGCACTCAGTGAGTGTGTCCACTCGAGCTGGATTTGATAGAATTGATCATTTTTTTAGGATTCACAGATTGTGTTGTTTCATGTGACGGTTGGATGGTTCATATATTAGGCTATTGACTTCCCCCCCATGCTAGGCAGGGGATGCGGTGTCAGAATCCCAGCCACTAACCACTGGGATAAAAGGGCTTGTTTGTGTAGCGGGTGAGTGCGCCCATAACCCCCCAGGCCGCCGTGCCTGTAACCCTTCCCTAGGATCAATCGGGGATCACCAGTGGACCTCTGACACCCCCCCGCACTGGGATGCCCGAAGTGCACACACCGGGAATCGAACCCGAGACCTTCGCTCTGATAACATGTCAGAATCCCAGCCACTAACCACTGGGATAAAAAGGCTTGTTTGTGTAGCGGGTGAGTGCGCCCATAACCCCCCAGGCCGCCGTGCCTGTAACCCTTCCCTAGGATCAATCGGGGATCACCAGTGGACCTCTGACATGCGGTAGCCTAATGTATGGGTCAATCAACATCACGCATTTCCATCATGTATCGTGTGCGTTCATTTCATTATACAAGGGACTGGTATACAGAAGTAAATATGGACATACCACTGCAGTATACCGCACCTTCCCTTGAACTAGATCATGTATCTTGCTTATTAGTGTTTCTCCCTTCTTCTTCCGTTTCTCTCGCTACTCTCTTACCCCAAAACCCTAGTCTACTTAGGCTACTATTCTAACACGCACTATACGGTATTTATGCATTACGCATTATATTATGTTATCCATTATTATATTGGTACATGCATGCATGATTCATTAATGCATAACAGATATTACGTATGCATTACGGAATTAACAGCCACCACGAGTTCACAGTTACATTCTTTTTCCACACCATGTTAATATTTCATCCACACAATACACCTTAGGCATCCATCCACAGTAAATTCAGGGCGAACTACAAAGAATGTATAGTACCATGGCACACAAGCTAAATTGACAGGGCAAATACATAGTCGTCACTTACAATATTGTCCATAACATTTTTTCTTCATCTTCTATAAATATCGTGGATGAAAAAAAAATGCACATAACGATTGTAATAGGTTGCTTCGCAACCCAAAAAAACCAGCTGTGCAGACTCTACTGGGAAAGTATTTTTGGGTTGCGTAGCAACCCTATATAATCGATTTCACTTTTTGGGGATATCATTGAAGAGTGATTTTTAAAGCACTCTTTGGGGCACACTCTTGAACAGTTTTTTTGGCATGGTATTCAAGATAATGCCTCAAATAGTGAATAAAAATCACTCATGATACCCCAAAAGTGAAACCAACTATATCATGTTGAAACCATGATTTTATTCTGACCGTCCCAACATCGTCGATTAATACGGCGGATGGTACGATCGAACATGGAAACAACATGACCGAATGCATCTGTACAAATGAACACGGATGATTCAAGAAGTGTTACAATGTATCAGTGCAGCAATAGAGATTGATGTGGCCGTTGAAACAACGAATGCACGTTGCACCAACGACGATGACAACCTCTAGTTGCATACACGATGCATTGGAACAGCTTGTCTTGAATCACACACATATCACAAACACGAAATGACAATGTCACGAAGAGAGTTGTGACGACGTCAGAGTGAATGCTTAATATGCACCAATGCTACAACTGAGATTGATGGGGTCGTTGAGACAGTGAAAACACACTGCGCCAACGACGATGACAACCTCAGCTGCAAACACGATGCATACCAGCACCACACCCTGAAATAATCACAACCAACTGACACGCACACAAGCACACACACCCACGCACGCGGTACACACACACACTCACATGTACAGACACACATACATATATATGCACACACACACACACACACACACACACACACACACACAAATACAATGAAGATAGAGGGCAAACAAGCATAACAAAGAGTCGCAAAAATGATAAATACGTAACAATCACTGCTAGCCTGCTCCCCCTTCCTATCCCTTTCCCCTTTCCCTCTTTATCCCCACGCTTTTCGACATCTTTTCCCTTGCCTTCCTTTTTCTGCTCCCCACAATGCGGCTGGCACAACCTGCAAAACACACAGATCATGCAAAAAACATATTGCGGTGAGAGAATCTAGTGAATAATGTAAGGCGCCAACGCGCTGCAGCAAAACGTTAGCGCACTGCATTAGAAACAGTAACGCATGACGGAACGTGTTCAAAATGATGCGACAGACTGATATAAGATAAATACTAGGCAAATCCAATTGGACGACTCATATTCGTGGTTTGAAGGCATCATGCACACCACCTCGGCCTGCACGAAATGCATCACTTAGAAGAAAGAAGAAATGATAATGGCACCAAATACACACCCAGCATTCAAGGCGCAAATGCGCAAGCTCCAAAAGCAAGACTCAGTCACCCAAGGCATCAACGGCCATGGCGCTACTGACGCCAGCGCCCTCGCAGGGTCAATGTGCCCAAGACACCAGCATCTAACGCGTGAGCAACCTAGGGTTAACGCACTTAGCACCAATGACTAATGCGTGACCAAGAGGACTAAGGAAGACTCACCAATGCCTAAGGTGCGGGCGCTAAAGGCGCCAGCGCAGCAAGCGCCAGCGCGTTAGGTGCCAGCACACATGGCGCCAGCGCGATAGGCGCTGGCGCTGCGCCTTAGGCGCCAGCGCGCTAGGCGCCAGCGCGTATGGCGCCAACGTGATAGGCGCCAGCGCAGCAAGCGCCAGCACCTTAGTCGCCAGCGAGCTTGGCGCCAGCGCATATTGCGCCAGCGCGCTAGGCGCCCGCGCACATGGCGCCAGCACGTTAGGCGCAAGCGCAGCAAGCGCGTGCGCATTAGGCGCCAGCGCGATAGGCGCCAGCGCAGCAAGCGCCAGCGCCGCTAGCGCCAGCGCCTTAGGCGCCAGAGAAACTGGCGCCAGCGCGTTATGCGCCGGCGCGTTAGACGCCAGGGCGTTAGGCGCCAGCGTACATGGCGCCATATGCGCCGGCGCGTTAGGCGCCAGCGCGCTAATAACCAACAAGCAAAAAGAACTTACGAGGAAGGAAGAAAGAAAAGGTATGAAATTTTGGAGGGAGGAGAGAGGAAAAAAATGTTACGGGAAACGGAAACGCACCTAAGATGAAGGTGCCTCACAAAACGCGCGGTCATGTCGCAACCCGCGCTCCTGCTCGTGCACCCACCAGTGGCGACGGCAGGAAGGGAGGGAGAGGCGACGAGGAGGAGGAAGGGAGAACGACGGCGGCGGGGGAGAGAAAGGCGACGGTGAGGAGTGCGGAGAGGCGACGGCGGGGAGTGGGGGAGAGGTTATGGCAGGGAGTTACTAAAAAACGCGATTCCTGGTAGGGAATGGCGATGGCAGGCAGGATGGTCGGTAGTTGGGTTGGGAGGAAGCTATTTGGGGGTGGGAGGGAGAAACGCAGGTGCTTGAATTCAAGAACGGAACTCCCAAGAAGGGAGTACAGTATTTGTTGGTTTTGGTTGGGTTTGTGTGGTGCTGGCAAGAAAATTTTCTGCCAGCGAGGCACGAACCAGTTTTTACAGTACAAAAGCACCAGAGTTTCGTTATATTCACCGTCATCAAGATACGATCAGGATTTCTATAAGCTGTTTGTGACTAATTTAATAACGTGTCGCCTTTCCTGCTAATTCGAAGACACATAATTTGGAATCTAGTGTCACGTCACAGCAAGAGCACAAACATGTTACCCAAAATAGCTGATACATAAGATTTGGCTGCAATTATGCAAACCCACTAATGTCATATGATAACGTAATTTGTACATAAAAATAATATTGCTTATTAAAACCAATACAGTCATATTTTCTAAATATTCCACTATATAAGACAAGCAAAAGTAAGAAAAAAGAACCTTGATGAACAAAAAAATACGGAAATAACAAGCCCATTATAAAGAGGGATAATATAGTTCGTCGCTTTCGCTAAGTACCATGCGTATAATAACAAGCATTCCCTCATGTCTTTGTATGGAAAATACGATTGCTACGCAACCCTTCCGACGTTAACGTCGAATCTTTTTTTTCTTAGAAATTGTTGAAAACAGACATTTGGGGAAGACTGGCAAAGGGGGTGGCCTTCGCATATGGGCTATTTAAGCAGCTCTTGTTGCAATAATCTCTACTATGGTCGACTTCTAGTATAGACGGCTAGCTCTGTACAATTTAACACTCTTACCCGTAACGTGCTTACGCTAAGCCATTCAGCTTTTGGTGCAATGATCTTAGTTACCTTTAAATGTGCTCCTCCATAGAAGCAAAAAAGGCCCTGGTGCTACACGATGCTGTTTATTGGGCTTTATTTATAGGCCTACATGCATCTAGCATGGTGTTAGTACAGTTAGTGGATGACTTGGCCAGCCTACAGAGCTCCTATCCTGCAACTTGTACTCAAAATTGATGGGGTCACGTAGTCGAGTGCAGTCCTGTGCATGGATGGCTGCCCAGCGTCTCTTATTCCAGGTATTGGGTGATGAAGCAGATCCGACAGATGAGTGTACGTCAAATGGCTCCCAAGGTTGTAGAGGCTCCCTCCAGTAGGAGCTTGACTCAGCAGCCCTTGAACAGCAGAGCTCGTCTGCGCAAGGACGGAAGAAGCACACAAGAAGACGGGAGTCAGTTGTGTCATGCGCTACAGTGAACCATCTAGCAGCTCACACAACATTTTGCCGGGGGCCCTACGCTACACTAGATATTAAAATCCACTACAGCCACTCATCTTACCTGGAGTTCAGCTACCCGAATGTTGAAATGGGCCTCAGCTTCCTCTGGCGTTTGTAGCAAAGGGTGAGCCACCCTCATGCTCACATGCACCCTCCCCAGCCCTTCCAACGCAACTTCATATGTATCCACATCGAAAGGCCCCTCTTCTTCCTCCGCCATCTTTCTTATCTCCACGCTTCCATCTGCTCCCACCACTGCCAGGTCATCATGGAAGCGTGGCGGTGCCACGTCAGCGCCGTCCACCTGCATGAGAGCGAGGAATCCATTGGCCCCCCTGTCCTGCTGGTTGCCTGTGCGCGCCACCATGCGCAGCGAGTGCTGCTTGCCGCCAGATGACACCCACACCACTCCCACCTCCTTCACCCACACATGCAGGCTCCCTTCTGCCACTCTCCTCGGCATGCCTGCTGCTGCAAGCGCGGCTGCTGCTGCGGACTCCGGTCCCTGGTGGCTCTGCAGGAGCACGTTGATGTGGATCCGACGGTCGGCAAGCAAGCAGAAAGTTTTTCCGAGCTGCCCAGGGAAGTCGAAGAGGGTCCCATGCGCGCCTGTGATGCGCGGGTCGGTGTTATCGAGGCGAGACGTGTCGCATGAGCCTCCCACCCTGCCAGGGGTCAAGGCGCAAGGGGATGGGGAAATGCTTGTCAGATGTGTGGAGGCGTTGTGGCTCCACCACATACACATAAGACAAGCCACACATACAGTGTAAAATTATGCAGTCTGAACACATACATTAGAAAATACCTAGTGAAAGCATTGCACCATAAAACATTGTAGACCTCCTCCAACTCAGCCACCGTTCAGCACACCTTTGTATGCCGCCGGATTGCCAGCTATGAGAGCACATGTTGTGTCAGATGAGCTTTTCCAGGGGTACATACCAGCTGAGCGGGTAGTATGCGGCCATCGCATCCTGCTCCCTTCCATCCCCGCTATAAGGATGTCTCAGCCCCGCTGTCCGTCCCGACCCCGCGCTCTTCTCCAGCAGGTAGCACTGCACGCCGTCAATAAAGCCCCGAACGTTAGCATTGTCGGCTAGCCGTTTGCTCGAAAAGAAGTGGTAGGCGTGGCAGGCCTTGTCGGCCCCGCACGCTCTGCAGCAACCCTCCAGCGTGCCTCCGCTGTCGCCTCGCACGATGTCCACGTGGTTACCAACCTCCTGTTACACATCATTGAGGTCGTTTCAGAATTGAAAACGGGATGTGAAACGCGAGGAAGAAACGCGAACGAATTCGAGGCGCACGGTTCACAAGTGGTCGGAAATCTAAAGAATGATGCAGCCGCAATCGAAGCTGCACACCATGAGCGGCTAACACGCGCGTGTGCTTACTTTTAATCAAACTACTACTAATAATGCTATTTCAACCAATATCTTGAAAGTCGTTTCACCGCCACAACTCAATGCGTGAACGAAACGCGACTCGCTCCGCACCTGATAGACTTCGAGATTCAGCGGGCCTGATCCTGCTTCATGCGCCTTGTATTTTCCGCCCTGACTGTTAAATCGGCCTCTAAATTGTCCAATCAGCGTGAAGTCCGTGAAGTTTCCTTCCGTTATAGTCACATCGCGGTAGGTGGGTAGACGGGAGCAGACGGCTTGGAGGTGACACCCGTTCGCGGGAAGGTTCGCGGCTAGGGAGCTTTGCACGAGAAGGAGAGCGACTAATGATATTCTCCAACGCTCGTCTTTTCTTGCCATAGTACCACTGCGTCAAGTGAGTAACTACGACGCGATTGCGAATTTCTTCTATGCCCGTGAGATGCGCTATGTACGAACTTGATTGTCTCTTGAAGAGAACCTTGGTTGTCTGTACGGACATGCCGCTGGTCCGCTAACTTGCACGTGGGGTGGTCTGGGGAGATACCACGAACGACATTAGGTAAATTACTCCTCTGTAGTAACAAGAAATGCACGCCACTGCATTAGAGGAGGGGAACTTCTCGCGTCGGTCATGTCACGTTGTGTCACCACGTCACATTTTCACGAAACCAAGCCAAATTTGGAGACGAGGCGATTTTGCGTGAGATGGGATTGCAACTCCGTTCTCTCGCGCCGCTCCTCATTCCGGCCCACTGGGAAAGCATTGTCGATGTGTGTTAGCGAGCTGGAGATTATGATTCGCGCTCTCGCGAAGACTAACGGAGTGCTTGTTGCGAGGCTGTAACTCAGTCGCAAACGCCCGAGCAGAGGAATCATCCAATCAGCGTCGCTGCTGGACATCCGGAATCGGCAATCAGTTGGTCCCTCTGGGCGGAGTGAGGCGAAATGTGGGTTCGCGCTGTCCGTGAAATGAGTATGCTGAATCCCTATTGAATTTCCCATTAGGGAAAAGGGGGAAATCAATGGTGATTCGGATAAATGTGAACATACACACTTCTTCAAGAAACCAGCATGTATTTGCGAGTATTGAAAGCCATTCAACTTCTGAACACATTCGCTAGACACAATGCAGCCAGTTCGTATATACACACAATTCCACACGCAGGCAGTAAATTTATCGGCCTAACCCACTCATCAGTGCAGTCCATATACAGAAAGTTCAATCACCCAAAACCCAGGTCCCATTGTCGTACTGTACTACAACTGCTAGACTCACACGCCTGTCCTGTTCCATATGCCAGACATTTTAAACAGTGATGTGAAAATGGTGGCCAGGAGGGATTCAGGAAAGAACCTACCCACAAACTTGCTCGTTAAGAAGCATAGGAAGGGGATCACAGTGAGCATGACGAGGATGTTGATGATCATGTTTCGCAGAAGATGCTTCACAAAGTGCCGGAGGAGCCGACCGAACTCCTCCCGGTCGATGACCCCGTCATTGTTGAGGTCGAATTTCTGCCCGAGACAAGAGGCACAATGGAAGAATGTAAATATTCAAACTGAAAATCAATCGAGAGCCCATGAGGGAAGTCCTGTGCACAGGTGCTGGTGAAGTGACATGGTGACAAAGCAATGACTCAATAATAGCAAATGCACACTGGAGAGAGCAGGAACACACACCTTGACCAGCTTGAGAACGTCCTTCTTCTTTGGAGGGCTCAGATAACTCCCCGGGGAGTAGCGGTTCACGTAGCTGTAGTGCAACACAGAGGGGGTGGGATGGAGGCGTAGTGCATGGAAGAGTGGGGAAGTGGGGAGGAGGGGAAGGAGGCTCATGAGTTGGAAATGAGAATCGTTGGAGACGTTTAGGAGGTTCATACAGGACAGGTCATGGCGCATTCACTTGTACACTGAATCACAGCAGCATGGCGGCGTTTCCGAGTCGCCTTAATGACCCATTCACTTGTACACGAGCAGAACGCGATGTTTCCAAGACGCGATAAGGACCCACTCACTTGTACACGAGCAGCACGCCAGAATATAGCTCTGGCACGTTGATCACCGGCCGCCCCTCCGGGGTGCCTTTCTGAGTCGAACTCAAAAGTCACCTCTTTCTTTGGATGTTTCCAAGACGCGATAATGACGCACTCACTTGTACACGAGCAGCACGCCAGTGTATAGCTCCGGAACGTTAATCACTGGCTGCCCCTCCTCGTCCTTCTTGCCGTCCAGCTCCGCAAGTTCCAGGAAGGCGCGGTCCACGGCTTTCGTCACCACGTCCCCTGTTACCGCAGAACATATCGGGGTTTTCCTTCTAGCTTACCATTCACCACTAAGTTACAGGAACATGCGACAATGTTACCAACGCATGCGAAATCGGCATGATGTCAGATGTTGTAATGACTCATGAAAAACGTTTACGTCGGATTCCATGTGTGGTAAATTTTCTCACTCACAGCTTGCGACTTTGTTCGCCACTGCGCGGCTTCTATCGCGTATACGAAGCGAGGACGGCATCGTAACGAGTGTGAATATGAGAAGCTGTGAGTCAGTAACTTAAGAAGACGGCCGACTCGTTGTTACGTCCAGAACAAACTTTGAAAGCGCGTTTCACGGAAGATAGAATCTAAGATGAGGAGAGCAGATACGCGCGCTTCCTAAATGCGGTAAGGCGTAAAGTAGCGCATTCAAGTTCGAGCCACATTGAAATTTGCGCCAGTCACATTTGGGCGCATCCCCTTCCCCCAACCCCCACCCCTGCCCTCGACCCCGCACATCCCCGTCCGCGACCCCAGTGTCCTCATTCTTGAACTTCGGTCCTTGGGATGCGCCAATCAGGATGCAAACCTCCCGCCCTGAGCGAGTACGAAAACATGCGAATTTACTACGCGAAAAAAAATTCAGCACACAACACTAGAGGTTACCACAAGAAGCGAGTTTCGCTGACGGAGGGAAACATTGGAACTGTGATCGGTACGTCCCACTCGGAGTGAGCCCACTCGGAGTGGAGAGGCCCGGTAGAGAGCACCGACATCCACCGACACGGAGGAGTTTCCGTGGCCTTCCCAAATCTGGCGGTAAATTTCCGCCCTCCGAGGGGTGATCGGTACACCAGCGTTACTCAGACTGGCGAAGTTGCAGGGGGCCTCACTCCACACTCAAATCCCGAACCGCCCTCCGAGTGGAGCATGGAGTTCACCCTCAAAAGCTGGAGTTCGTGGTGGGCCCACTCGGAGTGGGGTTTGCCCGTGAATGATGGTTCCTGCTGGCTTCGTGGAGGGTCTACTCGGAGTGCGATAATCTGTGTATTTTGTCACCTTTTAGCCCAATCGGAGTGGGCAGGCTCGGTGTGATTATAGTGGATACGTAGGCTTTAACCATGTGCGACTCGGGAGTTTGTGAACCCCACCGCAACTTCCGCACTCGGAGTGGAGGGCGTACCGATCACCGCTTGGTTGAGGTACAGACGTACTTTTGCTTTGGAATAAGGCAACAAAGCACGTAAGGTAACGACGAGTGGTGATAACGAGTGATATTTTTTCGGAAAGTGATAATCAGCCCGAGCCGGATTGCAAGCGAGATCTCCATACCTCGCTACAATGCTCCACACCTCGTCTCGGAGCGTGATGACTTCATACCTCGGGAGCGTGACCGCATTACAATGCTCCCTACATCGTCTCGGGGCGTGACTTCGTTACCGTCACATGATTCCCAAATTCAGCGCGGCTCGATTGCAGCTTTAAATCTATCCAGCATCACTCAATCCTCAAATCTACTCGCGTGAAACGCGCGCCGCGTCACCTTCCTCGAATTCACGGTCGTCTCTCTCGATCCGCCCGTCCTGGACAGCACTGCTTCGAGGCCCGTCACCCTTTCAGTTCGAAAGGTCTCAGCTTCTTTACGGTCTCAGCGTAATATTCATCATCGAACTTAGTGGCTGAGTTAATCGAAGCTCTCAGCTCATTAACGGCGCCTGTCCGCACATGGCCGCACCTGTGCGGATCTGCATGCCCGTGCCCGTGCCCGTGCTCTTTCGTCGGGCAAGGCCATCAAGTCCTCAGCAAGCATGCCCGTGCTGACAGCAGGTACCACTCAGCGGATGGCGCTTGGCGGATGGCGCTCCGCGGATGGCGCTCGGCCGGTCGCAGCTGCAGCCTCTGCTGAGCATGTGCTCTCACATGCTTGTGCTTCACCGAGCTGCACCCAATGCATGTGCTTCACCGCACTGCACCGCGCTGCATATTCATTTACATCGGAGTCCGTCCTCTCTCCATGGGTCATTGGCAGGTCGGAGCATGCAGCTAGAGCAGAGGTGCCAGCTGAAGCAGAGGGGACTTGCTTTCAACACTTGTTGTCTTCAACATGAGTGTTATGATCGCACTACTCTATGCCGACAGGGGATCTGTCATGCTGACAGGGGATGTGCACTTCGGGTGAGATGACTCTGCATCATGGCATTGCCTCTGCATCATGGCGTTGCCTCTGCATCATGGCGTTGCCTCTGCATCATGGCGTTGCCTCTGCATCATGGCGTTGCCTCTGCATCATGGCGTTGCCTCTGCATCATGGCGTTGACTCTGCATCATGGCGTTGACTCTGCATCATGGCGTTGACTCTGCATCATGGCGTTGACTCTGCATCATGGCGTTGACTCTGCATCATGGCGTTGACTCTGCATCATGGCGTTGACTCTGCATCGTGGCGTTGACTCTGCATCATGGTGTTGCCTCTGTGGTGCTGACAGGGGATGTGCACTTCAGGTGAGATGTGCACTCCAGAGCACCATTCTTGCAGACTTGCTCACACTCACACCCCCTCAATCTCGTTCTCACCACATATCCCCGCTCCCAGCACTTACACTCAGCACACATACACTCAGCACACATACACCTAGCGCACATTCTCGCCTGGATTCTCTCCCAGCACATGTTCTCCCTACTTCTGGTCCCAACTATACAGATTTGTCTGAAAGTCTCCAGAATTGTTTGTAAGTTTCCCAATGTGCCTCACCGCACAGTTTTCTAAGCGCGCATACACTCATGTGTCTAGCAGTGTCCTGGTTACTTGCGGTTATCATGGTTTCCCTGCCTCTCTTTTTCCCGAACCAAACTGCCAGGCTATGGTGAATTCCTCGGCAGATGTGGGCAGCATGTGTGGGCAGCATGTGTGGGTGGCATGTGGGCGGCATGTGAGGGTGGCATGTGTGGGTGGCATGTGTGGGTGGCATGTGTGGGTGGCATGTGTGGGTGGCATATGGGCGGCCTGTATGGGTGGCATGTGGGCGGCATGTGTGCAGGTATGTCTGGTTCTCATCACTCATGTGAGCTCCCAGCACACACACTCGCTCAACCAGTGCACTGATGATGTTTGCCCGCCTCTGTGTTCTCCTCAAACTGCCAGGCTCTCACCTGCTGTGACTGAGGCTGTGGTGAATATACGTGGCCAGCATGTGCGTGGCATGTGTGCAGCATGTGTGGGTTGCATGTGACAGCACACAGAACAGCACAGAACAGCACAGCACAGCACACATCAGAGCACACAACAGAGCACACAACAGAGCACAGCACTGCATACACAGCACACACCACTGGTGAATGCACACCACACAGACACAGCACAGGTGACTGCACACTACACAGCTTCGGCACAGCACAGCACTCAACACGCACAACACAGCACACATCACAACGCACAACACAGCACAGAACAGCAAACAGAACAGTCAACAGCACAGCAATTCCTTAACATCTCAGCATATGGCACAGCACAGCACAATGGAAAGCAATACTACATACTTGGGCATGCTGTTACCGTATGCAGGGACTCCCTGTTGGTGATGCCTCTACAGCACACAGCATTGCCAGAAGTGGCAACACAAGTGGCATGTGCAATGTTTGGAAAGAAATGTTGCCATGTTAGAGGGAATTTGCCTCTGTTGCATGCTGCCACTGTTGGTTTGCATTAAATAATCTTCTGAATGCTAAAGATCCTTTTACTGTTATGTAAACCATTATGTTTAGCTGCTACATTGCACCATATGCTTCCCTGGTGCATGTCGAACTACCTATTTTCAAAGGTCCGTGCTGAGATATAGTTATCTGATTGATAATCTAACCAGATGTAAAACTAATTAGGCAACTATATATATCAAAATCATAGAGAGCGCCATGGTCTTGGGTCTTCCGGGTCCCTCTTGGCCACTAGGGGGGTTAACCCCTAGTGTTACACCCACACACCACAATGAGGTGGGGACCCTTCGTGTGGGGACCTGCATGGGAACAACGGGGGGTTAGTTAGAAAAAAACAGACGTTCGCAGGCGCCAGGAGGCGTCCCCCCTAGCGCCTGCCATCTTGGACAGCTGCAGGCGCCAGGAGGCGTCCCCCCTAGCGCCTGCCATCTTGGGCCTTGGTCCTTGGACGTCTTGGGCCTTGGTCCTTGGACGTCTTGGGCCTTGGTCCTTGGACGTCTTGGGCCTTGGTCCTTGGACGGCTTGGGCCTTGGTCCTTGGACGGCTTGGGCCTTGGTCCTTGGACGGCTTGGGCCTTGGTCCTTGGACGTCTTGGGCCTTGGTCCTTGGACGGCTTGGGCCTTGGTCCTTGGACGTCTTGGGCCTTGGTCCTTGGACGGCTCGGGCCTTGGTCCTTGGACGGCTTGGGCCTTGGTCCTTGGACGTCTTGGGCCTTGGTCCTTGGACGGCTTGGGCCTTGGTCCTTGGACGTCTTGGGCCTTGGTCCTTGGACGGCTTGGGCCTTGGTCCTTGGACGGCTTGGGCCTTGGTCCTTGGACGGCTTGGGCCTTGGTCCTTGGACGGCTTGGGCCTTGGTCCTTGGACGGCTTGGGCCTTGGTCCTTGGACGTCTTGGGCCTTGGTCCTTGGACGGCTTGGGCCTTGGTCCTTGGACGTCTTGGGCCTTGGTCCTTGGACGTCTTGGGCCTTGGTCCTTGGACGTCTTGGGCCTTGGTCCTTGGACGTCTTGGGCCTTGGTCCTTGGACGGCTTGGGCCTTGGTCCTTGGACGTCTTGGGCCTTGGTCCTTGGACGTCTTGGGCCTTGGTCCTTGGACGTCTTGGGCCTTGGTCCTTGGACGTCTTGGGCCTTGGTCCTTGGACGTCTTGGGCCTTGGTCCTTGGACGTCTTGGGCCTTGGTCCTTGGACGGCTTGGGCCTTGGTCCTTGGACGTCTTGGGCCTTGGTCCTTGGACGTCTTGGGCCTTGGTCCTTGGACGTCTTGGGCCTTGGTCCTTGGACGTCTTGGGCCTTGGTCCTTGGACGTCTTGGGCCTTGGTCCTTGGACGTCTTGGGCCTTGGTCCTTGGACGTCTTGGGCCTTGGTCCTTGGACGTCTTGGGCCTTGGTCCTTGGACGTCTTGGGCCTTGGTCCTTGGACGGCTTGGGCCTTGGTCCTTGGACGTCTTGGGCCTTGGTCCTTGGACGGCTTGGGCCTTGGTCCTTGGACGTCTTGGGCCTTGGTCCTTGGACGTCTTGGGCCTTGGTCCTTGGACGTCTTGGGCCTTGGTCC